TCCTCCTCCTTTGTCCTTCTAACATTTCTTCTAATATTGGTTTGGTGTTGATGAACTCCTTTAGCTTTTCCTTGTCTGGGAAGCTCTTTATCGGTCCTTTGATTCTAAATGATAGCTTGCCTGGGTAGAGTAGTCTGGTTGTAGGTCATTACTATTCATCACTTTGACTATTTCATGCCAATCCCTTCTGGCCTTCAAAGTTTCTGTTGAGAAGTCAGCTAGCAGTCTTATGGAAGCTCTCTTGTAGGGAACTAACTGCTTCTCTCTCACTGCTTTTAAGATTCTCTCTTTGTCTTTAATCTGTGGCATTTTAATTATGATGTGTCTTGATGTGGGCCCCTTTGGATTCATCTTGTTTTGGACTCTTTGTGCTTCTTGGTCTTGTATGTCAATTTCCTTCTCCAGGTTAGGAATGTTTTATGTCACTGTTTCTTCAAATAAGTATTCAGTTCCTTGCTCTCTTTCTTCTCCCTCTGGTACCCGCATGATGCAAATGTTGGTAGGCTTGATGTTGTCCCATAGACCCCTTAAAGTATCCTCATTTTTAGGGGGGAGGGATTTTTTTTTTTTTTTGCTCTTCTGATTGGGTGTTTTCTGCTACCTTATTGTCCAAATCACTGATTCGGTTCTCTGCTTCATCTCATCTACTGTTGATTCCCTCTAATGTATTTATTCTTCATTTTAGCTATTGCATTCTTCACTTCTGACTGGTTCTTTTTATGTTTCCTATCTTGATTGTTAGGTTTCCTATCTCTTTGTTGAAGTTCCCACTGAGATCATTGAGCACCCTTATAACCAATGTTTCGAATTCTGCATCTGGTAGATTGCTTGTCTCCATTTTGTTTGGTTCTTTTTCTGGAGCTTTGTTCTGTTCTCTTATTTAGGATATGTTTCTTTGTCTCCTCATTTTGGCTGCCTCCCTGTGTTTTTATTAGGTAGAGCTGCTATGTCTTCGGGTCTTGATAGAGTGGTCTTAAATGGCAGGTATCCTGTGGGGACCAGTGGTACGGTGTCCCTGGTCACCTGAACCAGATGCTCCAGGTGTGTTCCTTGTGTGAGTTGTGTGTGTCCTCCTGTTGCGGTTGAGCCTTGGTTGCTATTTGCATGTCAATGGGAGGGACTGACCCTCAGGATGATTGATTGTGAGGACTGGCCACATCTACAGTGGAGGAGCTGTTGTGCAGGGGCCGACCCTATGGAGCAGGATTCACTATAGCAGGGCTCTGGTGCCTGCCCAGTCTACCCTTTGGGAGTGTGTCTTGTGGAGGTTGTTGGGTGATGCTCTAGTGTAGTCTGAAGCTGGCCACCAGAGGTGTTGGTTCTGGGGCCTCTCAGGAGGGGCTCTTGTGTAGGCCAAGGTCAACTGCTGCTTGTGCCCTGCCTGGGGCCATTTGGATGAGCTACAAAGTGATCTACAGATGATTGCCACTTGTGCTGGGCTTAGAGCTGCTTAGAAAGAGGTACAGGGCATGTTGAGACCAGCTGCTGCATGTTTGGGGTTTGTGAATCTTTAAGAGATTTTAGTAAAGTCCACAGTATGAGCCAAGACAGGCTGTTTGTATAGAAAAGCCATTGGAAGCAGCTTGGGTATGCCCACAAGTTGGGTGGGGCGGGCTCTCACGGAATCACTTGAGTAGGCCAAATGGTATTAGCCAGATTGATGGAGACTCAGATATGGCATCCATCTATGTCTTCAATCTGGATGAAGGGAGGGCTCAACAAAGGAACAATGACTTCTGCCAGCACTTTTGTTTGAGAGGAAGCTGCCCCTCCAACTCTTACCCTGAAACCAGACAATTCAGTTCTTATGGTATGTCCCTGGTACCTTTCAAGCTGCTTCCCCAGTGCTGGAGCTCAGAGCAAGTGAGTCCGTCATTAAGTAAGTTCATGTGCAGGCCCTTTAAGAGGAATGCCTGGGACTCCATCTTCCCTCTATCTCACTCAGCCATAACCTCAGCCAAAAGTTATGGAGACTTCTCTTCCTGGCCCTGGAACACTGGGCTGGGGATCCTGGTATAGAGCTGGCACTGCTTGCTCCTCAGGGGGGAACTCTGCAGCTGAGATATCCCTCTCTATTTGTAAGTGCTGCGTGTGGGTGTAGGACCAGCTTGTTCTTCATCTTTGTTCCTTCTATCAGTCTCAATTTAGCTTTTTCTATATATCCTTAGTTATAGGACTTCAGCTAGACTTAAGGTGACTCTCAATGATGGTTGGTCTGTAATTTTGTTGTAATTCTGTAATTATTTGTAATTCTAATGTGGTTGTGGGAGGAGGTGAGCACAGCATTACCTATTTTACCATCTGGACCAGAAACAGTGGTAAGTTGTTTTTTTTATAAGTACTCTTTTTTTATTAAAAATAACCCACACAAGTTTAGGTATATAAATCATAATTACATGAATCATGAGTGTCCAAATGCAATAAATTTTACACAATGAACATTTATAACCAGCACCTAGATCAAGAAACATCGTTAGTAGTATCCAAAAAGCCTTCCTTTGTACCCTCTCCTACTGCCCTCCCCAGCCCCACACACTTACCCCAAGGGTGACCAGAAGTCTGACTTCTAACACTTTAAATTGGTTTTGCCTGTTTTCAAATTTATATAAATAAAATTATGTAAACTGGTGAATTGGGTACTGTAGTTTCACTTGCCGATGATTTCATAACTTTTGTTTTTTGTTCACAGTACGTTAACAGACGCTTAGTCGAGAAAATTTGTTCCTTTGATCCAACTGCTGAGCATGTGAGACTTAATTTAAAGCTCATTGATGAATATATTGGAGGTAAATTTTCACTGAATTATGTTCTAAATATATACTAACAGCAATAAAAAGCAGTTGCAATTCAGAGATACTTGAGTAAAGCAAGTGGCTCATCAATTCATCAATTAGGAAAAAACATAGTTCTGGTTATAGCCTTTTAAAAGGAGGGACCCTACATACAATCTACTGCATTCCCCAAAGTGACTTCCTATGCCACACATGTGAGAATTCAGAAGCACGTTTATGTTCCACTTATTAATTACATGTGCATTATTCATTAAAAAACAAAAGTGAATAGGGGCTCCAGTGAGGATAAGAAACAAGAGCATTAAATAAAAGGACTATTATTATCTTTAGTTTCAATGAAGAATCAAAGAAAATATTAGATTATGAGTCTTTATAGACAAATAATGTAGGCTTTTTGGAGGAGGAGAATCAAAAAAAAAATTGAGAGCAGAGGCTCCCAGATTGGAGAAGGTGATGAGCTCTTTGGCCACAGAAAATTAGCCACATATGAGAGTAAATATACATATACAAGCACACATTCCTCCACAGGTGCGTATTATCCCAGAGACCTCAGGTTGTTTATGTGAATGGAGCAGTAAGGAATAAATATTAAAGTTTGTTTCTTTTTTGTTATTTATGAAAAACTAATTATTAATTGGGAAAATGGCTCTGTAGAAATTTCTCACTAAACCTGTCCCTCTCCTCATCCCTCTCCTACTCTCTGTGGAGACTCTAGACCAAGTCAGAAGGGTTTCTGGACTTATGTGATATAAAATGATCCATGAGGCTCAAAACCAGAGACCCTCAGACAAGAGGAAGGAAAAGGCAACCCAGAGGAAGACACCACACTCCTCAAGGTGTCTGTGGCAGTGGATGCATGTAGTACAGGGGAAGCACATAACAGCAAGCCAGTGTGCATGGATGAGAGAGATCTCCTTGCCTAGGAAGGCAAGATAGTTCCATAAGTTTAGGAGTGCTAGAGAATAAGAGAGAACATGAGATTCAAATAAAAGTTAACATGAGTTAATGTGGACTATGAGTGATGTGAGTAAAGATTAGAATTCTTATTTGGAATGGCTTCTATTGTAGCCTCATCACTCTGGGCTGATTCATGGGAGCCTCTGGATTCATAGGTATTACGGGTATCACTTCTAAGGAAGTGATTCAAGGGAAACAATAACAGCAACAATGAAAATGACTACTTGTTCACTATATACTTGCATATACTTGCTCTATACTTTACTGTTCACTGAAGACTTGAAAATCCTGAAGTGTTTTCTATGTCAATGCTTCATTGCTGCTCTTCCTTTTGGAGTAGAGTTAGTCCCCATCATGAGCCCCAGTATTCACCACCCTCTATGTATGACCAGTTTGTTGAACTGACGTTTTTCCTGAGCCCCTATCCACTTTGGTCCCCACCCAATCTGCCAGCCTCTTGGCCTAGATCCAGACTCTGCTGTCAGGGTCACTTGTGTCCTCTTAGACTGATGCTCCCCTTAATAAGCCCATCTCCAGACAAAGGCATCTGTGGTATTGTACCAATGCTTCAAAGAAATCTCTTCAGGCTCCACTTTTGATTTGCTTATCAGAATTACCTCTTGTTGTCATATACAGAAAACATGCAGATTTGTTTCCTCTGCTTGCCTTCCCTTTCATCTGTGCTGATTCCTGAGCACCCTTGATCTCCACTGCTCCCTACCACTTTCTCTTTCCCAACAGTGTTCTTAGGTGGCAAGAATACCAACTGCAGTTAACAAAACTAGATTCAGCCAGAAACCAATATCCCTTAGACTCCCCTACCACCACCACCACTATGTCTTTAGCATTATCACAGCCTCTGCAGCAATCAAGACAGTTCATCAGCTACCCAGATACCAACCCTCTCTCCTTCAGACGCAGTCATCTCAGGAAATTCTAAGGTTCTCATTTGGAGAAAGACAGGGGAACTCTTTAAGGCACATTTTCCTTTGTGCCAGAAAGAGAGGAGTCTTCCAGCATTGCAATCTGTTGCTATAAGTTTATCTGAGCCTTTTAGTAGCATTAAGTAAGGCCCCTACTCAGTGACCCCAGCCAGTATGAAATGCTACCAATAGTATCTGTAGGTTCTGCCCAGAATGGGGAGGGAATGCAAGTTAGCATAGCTTCTAATCCACCAAGCCTTCCAAATTAACAATTTTGCCAAGAAAATAGAATTAGGGCTGATATGCCCGCACTTTCTTAGGGCTTTTGCTGCCAATTTTTACCCCACTTCATCCTAGTTCTGAAAAGAAGTATTTTTTTAATGTTCAGAAAAGGTACATTTTATTTTTTCCCAATTTTATTGCAATAACGACATATAAAATTGTATTAGTTTAAGGTATACAGCATAAAGATTTGATATATGTATATACTGTGAAATAATCATCACAATAGGTTTAGTTAACATCCATCACCACACATAGTTACAATATTTTTTCTTGTGATGAGAACTAGTGAGATCTACTGTTTTAGCAACTTTCAAATAAACAATACAATATTGTTAACTATAGTCACAAGGCTGTACATTACACTCCCAGAATTTATTTATGCTATAACTAGAAGTTTGTACCTTTTGACCACTTTCACCCATTTTCTCCACCCTCCAACTCCTGCCTCTGACAACTACCAATCTGTTCGCTGTTTCTATGAGTTGGTTTTTTTAGATTCCATATATAAGTGAGGTCATATAGTATTTGTCTTTCTCTGTCTGATTGATTTATTTCACTTAGCATAATGCCCTCAAAGTCCATCCATGTTGTTGCAATGGCACGATTTCCTTCTTTTTTATGGTGGAATAATATTCCATTATATATATGTACTACATTTATTTTCTTTATCCATTCATCTGTCAATGGACACTTAGGTTGTTTCCATGTCTTGGTTATTGTAATGCTGCAATGAACAAGGGGGTGCAACTATCTCTTCGAAATGGCAATTTCATTTCCTTCAGATATATATGCAAAAGTGGAATTGCTAGATCATATGGTAGTTCTATTTCTAATGTTTTGAGGAACCTCCATACTGTTTTCCATAGTGGCTGTTCCAATTTACATTCCCACCAATAGTGCACAAGCATTCTCGTTTTTCCACATTCTTGCCAACACTTGTAATTTTTTCACATCCTCACCAACACCTGTCTTTTTGATCACAGCCAGGTGTGACATGATATCTCATTGTGATTTTGATTTGTATTTCTAGAAAGGGGTATTTTATATTCTGGCAGCATTCTAGGCATCTGTGTCACCTTTAGAGTGAGGCAGTCACC